TCAGATTTTCCTAGAGGAATCCCTTAAAAATGATATTGAGCACTAAGAGAAGTCATCCTGGAAGAATGCTGAAATGCTCTTGTTGTTGGGTGTCTTCTAGTTGGTTAGCAACCGAATAAAGTACTGCCTGGACCTGTGTGATCCATCTCATCTTTCCTCTGTTTGGGCCCCGCATTGCTGAAATAGACCTACAATCTGTACTATGATCTCCGTCAAGATTTGTGAAGGGGTGTGTGGGGGGGAGGTTAAAATAGCCTCCCTAGTTTCAAAAGCAATACTCCCTGGGATTTATGTTTCTCTGTGTCCTATAGATGTTATTGGTCTCCTGATATTGATTGCTCGATGTTTGAATTTCTAGATTCCATTTTTTCCCCTAGTACTTTATATCCTCTTTACCATCTCTCTAGTTTCCACCTTGATTTGCTTCTGACTTTGACCTTTATGGTAACTACTGCTATGGAGATGTTTTTTGTTTTTTTCTTTCTTTCTCTTCCACCATTCTGGTAAAATGGAGTAACCACCCATCCACTGCCATCTTTATAGGAGCAGGTAGCCTCATCTCTCTGCCGCAGAGCAGCTGGTAGGTTTGAACTGGTGATCTTGCAGTTAACTGTCCAACACTTACCTGACAAAGCCACTGGGATTCCTTTAGGATGGATTAGGTTCTGTAAAATCTCAATTGTATACAGAAACAGTGTTTCTGGCTCCTGCTACATGTTTTCCATGGGTTGGATAAAGATGTTGCTGCCTGTCTTGTCTTACAGGGTTTGAGTGAGGCCGATGGAGCCTTTACCATCTGGAGAAATGTCAATGTCTGTGTTACAAGAAAGGGAGGAAACCAGGTAAGTCTTGAATTCGTCTGAAAGGCTTCTGCTTAGCAGTGTTACACCTAAGTCTTGCTCATCATCAAAACCCAAAGCATGCCACCCTACCGTGTCCCATATCAATTAGACCGGGAAGTGTTCTTCCACATTGTGCCATGAAAGAGGAGCACTGACCCCCAGACTCGTTCATGACTGTTCTGCTGGCAGCTGGCCCTCCCCTTTCTTCAGCTGTTTCCTCCCTCCCTCCCTTCCTCCACCCAACCATCAGTCCATCCATTTCTTCCTCCTTTTGCCATTTAAAAATGACTGGAAAAACATTCAGTGGAATGCCAACCAAATGAGAAAACAAATCATCAGTACTATGGGTGCTGCAATTACATAATCTGTCAACTTTAGTGAAGGGGTGGAGTCTAGGTTGTCAATCAGGTCATAGCTAATGAGGTCTCTGTGTGGGCATGGCCTTCTCCTGAGGATTCTGGGAACTCCTGTCTTCCTACCTGGAGGTGGAACACAGTCTCTCTCTACTTGACATTCCTATTGACAAGCCACATGGAACTATGCTGATGGATCCAGAGCCCTGGGAGCTGGAGGAGCCATGTGGAGACCCACACCAGTGTTGAGATGCTGCCACTACCACTGGATCCGCAAGACTTTCCACCCACTGGCCTATGATCTTCCTGCCTTCAACGTCATTGCATGTGTTTCATGAGTCTGAAGAGGAATTTTTAGACTGGTATTGGACACGTGGGCTAATATCAGACTTATGGACTTGATCTGGACTGGGCTGGGATGTTTTCTTAATATACAATTACTCTTTATATAAAGCTCTTTCTTATACACATATGAGAGTCTATGAATTTGTTTCTCTGTCATCCCAGACTAACACAACAGGATATGTACAATTCTTGAGACAGAAAAGGAACTTGCTAATTCATGACAGGGTTTTGGCATAGTGAGTGGGTCTAACTCCGTCTGGTAGGCAGCAGTGGTCTGAAGCAGCACAGACGTTGTAACCAGGGTTCTAAATGATGCCACAGGCAAATTGGAATTTGAGGAAATACCTGGATTGCCTCTCTGGGTCTTTAATCCATAACTCTAGCACTGATGCTTCTTGTTACCAGTTTTAACAAGGACTCACCATGACAAGTGATGTACATGACACGTCAATGTCTGTTTACCCCCTAAAAGGAGTACTTTGAAAAGTTGGCTTTCTCTCTGTTCTAGGCAACTGAAAAGCATTCTCTCTTTTCTGCCATTTTTAAAGCCGGACTGTTGTTATTGTTGTCGTGTGCTATCTAGCACAATTCCCACTCACAGTGACCCTGTAGGACAAAGTGGACCTCCCCCAC